AGTGTGGGACTGGAGGCAAAGGTGATAGAAAGAGAGAGGAATAAATGAAGATATAGAGCGATAAAGAGAATGATATAGAGGGCTAAGAATAACGATATAAAGTGAAAAGTGGATAAGAGAGATTTACCATGTTATATTTCACACAAAACTTACCATATCATAGCTCTAATTTCCCATCGATCACGGTAATTTGTCAGGCAATAGCTCATTCTAACTTGCCATCTCATAGCTCACTATATCTCACTATATGCCATTCACAATCTCACTATCCCTCACAACACTGTAGCTACTAGCACTAGCTCTTCCCTCCACCACACTATGATAGGGAGGACCCCCCGACTGTCAACCTAACTGCTCATCTGACCAACAAACTGGTTGACTGACATACAGTCTTGCTCTTAAGTTCCAAGCCCCTCTAAGGGGCCTATTTATCACCCATAAAACAACTGTTTTTAAAGCGATTCTGTTTTATTTAGGGGCTTAGAATTTATATATTATCACTTGGAAATCATCTGAAATTCTATATAATACTTTACGTTTTTATTTTTTTCTGTTTAGTGTAAATAACATGGTGTTGATAATGGACTGGGAGAGTACGAACTATATAAAGTATAAGATTTCAATATTAATTGTCTGATGGATATTTTAAATCATTTATATGTAATAAAGGATGTTCCATATATTTCCAGAGACACTTGGCAAACTTTCAAAATAAATATGTGACCATAAATTTTACACAAGAAGTGTGCGAGGTTGCACAATGAAATGACAAGCCAAAATGGGACAAAGGTAAAGAGGAGAGAGAGAAAGAGAGAGAAAAAGGGGATTAGGGGAGACAAAAACAACAGAAATCGGCAGATTTAGGTAATGGAAGACGAGACTGAAAATAATGTGAGTAAAACATGAAGAATGAGACAAAGAAATAAACACACAAAGAGGCAGAGAAAGATATAAATTACGAAAAACGCAAATAAACGAAAGAGAATAAGAGCAAAGATCGCAACAGGAAAATGTCCAACTAATTGTAAGAAATGTAGTCCTTCTGCTTTCCACTGAAAAGAGCACTGGCACTGTGCCTCCTGTTGGTTCTTTGGCACTCTGCTTCGTGTGTTTACTTTGGAATACTGTTGGTTTGAAACAGACATTTCAAAGTTCTGGAGACCAAACCGCACTTCAGAAAATGAGGAGACGACGACGTTTCGGTTCATTATGGACCATTATCAAGCCGACTGTGATGGGAGGAGGGAGGCTGGGCGTTAAATAAGGCAAGAGAGAGAGGTGAAGAGGCGGAAATCTTAGAGGAAGGTAAGGGTAGAGGGAATAAAGTTCATTCTGGACCATTATCAAACCGACTGTGATGGGAGGAGGGAGGCTGGGCGTTAAGTAAGGCAAGAGAGTGGTGAAGAGGCGGAAATCTTAGAGGCAGGTAAGGGTAGAGGGGAATAAAGGGGCGTAATAATGTAAGTAAAAGAGGAAAAAGAAAAAAGAAAAAATAGGTATGGATAGGTTCATGTTAGGTCACGTTTGTTAGAAAGTTTAGGACATTTCAGTATGAAACTCCCGATGCTTTCACATGTCAGTGAGCAGGCGAGACCCAGACTTCAGAAACTCCTCAACCTCCACCAGCTTCGGGAGCTGTCTATCGCAAACACGAAAGTGAATGTCGAGCTTAATTCAATTTGCTAGTCGTGTCGCATGTGTAAGGAGTCTGAGACCTGACCTGCAGGGGGCCGCTATGTTTATATAATGGTCATACATATTTAAATTATATTTCGAAGGTGGGGCTTCTAGGTGCCTGTCTTTCTGTCAAAGGATGTGCAATTCTGGAACTATAAGAAAGTGGGTTGATGTATGTGTTTTAAGGGAGAAGGACGTGTAGATTGATTAGACAAATTAATAAGTTTCGTGATGAGGGTTCGAGCCTACGTCCGAGATGATCCCAGACGCGCCTTTATCGATTGTGCTACGATTTGGTTACAAGAAATGCAACCTGGAGTTCAACTGACCTCACACGGATTCTTGTGGGTTTGTTCATTTGATGCATCACGCTATTGTGATTTCTGTGTGTAATGGATTAGACACAAAATACATATTTGGGCACTGTATTTGTTTTTGTTAGTGTAATAACACTTATGATTCTTCCAGACCGTCCTAAAATGATAACAATCTTAGGTACTATTTAGTCGCAAGTACAAATATGTAGTAATGGACCACCAGAAAGTTGAATTTTTATATTACTGAATCTTTCCAAATTGGAAACTTGTTTTTTTAACATCATCGTAAATATATGACCTATTGTATCTAACTTTTCCTAGCAATCCTAGGTCTAATACACTACATCTTATAGCTAATATGGCATATATGTGTGCTATACTAAACCTTGGAATGTTTAAATTAGTTTTTAGCTATATTTTTCGGAACTCTTATTATATTTAAAGCTCCAAAATTAAACTTTCTGGTGGTTCATCATTACATATTGGTACTTTCTGGTGATTCATCACTATATGATGGTACTTTCTGGTGGTCCATCACTACATGTTGGTACTTTCTGGTGATTCATCACTTCATGTTGGTACTTTCTGGTGGTTCATAACTACATGTCGGTACTTTCTGATGGTCCATCCCTTCATGTTGGTACTTTCTGGTGATTCATCACTTCATGTTGGTACTTTCTGGTGGTTCATAACTACATGTTGGTACTTTCTGATGGTCCATCCCTTCATGTTGGTACTTTCTGGTGATTCATCACTTCATGTTGGTACTTTCGACCAAATAGTTACTGTAAGAAAAATAATCCAGTTTGGTAGCAGGATGCTGTTTCTTTAAACTTTTCTTATTAGGACTACTCCAAAGCTCTGTCGATAGAGCTTCGGTCTCACGTGGGGGTCCAGGGGTTCGAGTCTCCTAGTACCCAGGTGAATGGGGAAAGTTACTGTAAGTATTCTCATTTCAAAAGAATGGGTTAGATTATTGTTGATTTATGTATTTTTGTTTTTTTGTACTTTCTGGTGTCTCCTGTCTCTTCTTTATCATTGAATTATAATTATTCCCTCACCTTCACTACTTCTTGTGTTTATCAGTTTCTGAGGCTTATCAGTTTTCAGAAACTTATCATCAGCTTATTGCTAGTCTCTAATTTTTCAATTATTTTTTTTCTTTCAGCCCTGTTTTCTCTTCTTCGTATTTCGTCTCCTCTCCCTCTTACCTCGCCTCTTATTTCCTCTGATTGCTCTTGAGTCCACATTTTTCATTAATTTTCCCAGACAACTCCGAAACTCCTTTTTATCTCGCCAGAAGACAAACGATTCCCATTCTCTCTTTCATTAACTCCTCCTGAGTCCCATTTTCTAACGTGATCAGCCAGTTGTGCTTGTATTCATCATCATGCTGTAGTAACATTCGTAGCTTCACCTAATCATGCTGATCAGGTGAAGCTGATCATGCCTGATTAACCAGTCACCTGATTAACCAGTCGCCTGATTAATCAGTCACCTGATTAATCATCCCTTCAAAATGAACCACCTTATATTTTGTGTTATTTGATGATTTTTTTTAAAGATATTTGATATATGGTGATATTTTGTAATATTTGAGGATATTTATAAATTGTAAAGGAAAATATGATTCTGGTTCATACGAAGTTTATTAGGAAAAAGATTACAAGAACGTTCTTGCATTAAGTTTGAGTGCACGTACACATAAGTTAGAGGACACATAAGTAATTTATGTGTCCTCTGACGTCCGAGGAAGATTTTGAAGAAACCAAACATAAAAAAGGAGTAATGGTCATGTAACGATGCTGTCGTGTGTGTGTGTGTGTGTGTGTGTGTGTGTGTGTGTGTGTGTGTGTGTGTTAGGGGCCATGCGGCTGAGTGGATAGTGCTCGGGGGTCGTAGTCCTAATGGCCCGGGTTCGATTCCCGGCGGAGACGGTAACAAATGGGGAAAGTTTCTTTCACCTTCATGCCCCCTGTTCACCTAGCAGAAAATAAGTACCTGGGAGTTAGACAGCTGTTTCGGGCTGCTGCATGTGCGTGTGTGTGAGAAATATATATGTAGTAGATATAATAGAGGAAAAATAGATTGGTTAGAAAAGCAAGGTCCAAGAGCTAATAGCTCAAATCTGCAGACACATATAATAAAACACACACGCACACAAATTGTAAAAACACATAAATAGTAAATATGTATACAGTATACATATGCATAAATACAATGTAAACCGATTTGGGAGCAGACAGAAGCCGCCTCGGTAACACAAGAAGATTATATGAAGACAAATACATAAGTCTGTCGCCCAGGTTTATGTCCCCTACGTTAACAGTTTAGTATAAGGGAGAGTATACAATGGCTCCCAACATTGGTGTAGCCTTTTTGGATACAATAGAGCGTAATAGATACAATAGAACTAGAAAATAGTGTGGTATATTCTAAAATAAATATGACTGAGCAAAATTTAGGAAAGTTTCGAGACTTTTTTCACGACTCGTTCGTAAATTTTGTGGATTTTGGATTATCAAAAGTTGATTGCTTGTGCTGGAATTTACATATTTTCCTAATCTGTTACATTTACAGGTCTGGCCTACGTGATGAGATTCGTGTGTATTGTTTAAAGTAGATTTAAGTTTAGCCTTATCTAGTGTGAATTACCTGTCTATATTTGCTGGTAGTTACTATCTGGTTTAACATAATTAACTTCGATATGGACATGGAATGCAAATTACACAATCTGTTCACAAGTAATTTAAGCCAAATTTCAGCAATGCTTTCTGTGAGGCTCGAATTCTAGCTCCATGGATAATTTTTAAAGTGTCGATTTACGAAAGATGAATATATATATATATATATATATATATATATATATATATATATATATATATATATTTATATATATATATATATATATATAGAGAGAGAGAGAGAGAGACAGACGAGATTCTCGAACGAATTTCAATGAAAAACTCTTCCACTGGTTGTTTCTCGGGGATGAAATAGTTAACGTTAAGTTGAATTTTATTAATATTAACAAATGAATAAAATGTACCCCAATAATATATGCCATGATATATGAAACTAACCACTTTATCATATTTCATGACATTTTCCAGTTATATACTTAATCTATTTCATCTATTTAGTATTCTCTTTATATATTAAATGTAATATATTATGCTTTATATTTTTGCATTATACATTTCAACATAGGGAAATAGGGTGGAACAGACACCAGCCAATTACAATTATAACTGCAATTTATTAAAGAGATGCCTAGCACTATCTCTCCTTTAAAGTGACATCCACTCTCTTCTCCCCCTTATCATAGCTACCTCTACTTTCACATTTCCCCTTCTACACCTCTCTTTTAGCCCTCTCATCTTCCCTTCTACACCTCCCTTTTAGCCCTCTCATCTTCCCTTCTACACCTCCCTTTTAGCCCTCTCATCTTCCCTTCTACACCTCCCTTTTAGCCCTCTCATCTTCCCTTCTACACCTCCCTTTTAGCCCTCTCATCTTCCCTTCTACACCTCCCTTTTAGCCCTCTCATCTTCCCTTCTACACCTCTCTTTTAGCCCTCTCATCTTCCCTTCTACACCTCCCTTTTAGCCCTCTCATCTTCCCTTCTACACCTCTCTTTTAGCCCTCTCATCTTCCCTTCTACACCTCCCTTTTAGCCCTCTCATCTTCCCTTCTACACCTCTCTTTTAGCCCTCTCATCTTCCCTTCTACACCTCCCTTTTAGCCCTCTCATCTTCCCTTCTACACCCTTTTAGCCCTCTCATCGTCCCTTCAACATCTCCCACGACCCGTTCACCAAAGCACACAGTTACTGGCGTTGTACTCGCACACGAAGTTGAGGGTTGTCTGGCAGCTCTCGTCGTTCAGCGAAGGGAAGGTGATGGAGGACGTCTGGTCCCTCTCCATCTCACAGTTTGAGAAGCAGAGTTCCAAGCAGTTCTCGCGGGTGTTCCCGTTAGGTTCGGAGGGCTTCCAGTCTTCGTCGCTGACCGGGCGGCCGTCGGTCCATAGCCAGACGCCCTCCTCGGCCAGGTCGGACCCGCCCAGGTACCATCTCACTACGTGAGCTGTGGACACGAGAATATTGACGCTTCGGTGATTTAAACACGCTGGAAATTAATAGTTATTGATTCAAACTTATTTTATATCTGTTAACAATCACTGCTTCTGCTAAATTTAGAAAAATGAGCACTTCACTCTTTGCAATTACGAGTGAATATGGCGAAGTGTGAGATTAATGAGGATAGCTCTTGTTTTAAACGAATCTTGTTTAATTCCCTTTTACTTTTTCTACAATTGTGAAGTTGAAAATCAAGACCCCAAATTAAATTTTGCTGTTTTATTATGGGCTGATGCTAAGAGATTTGTTTCGTCGACCCTTGTCAGCATAATCAAAGGCAGGGAACAAGCAGTTGTAATTGTTGTTATAGATTCAGCTACTCGGAACAAGTTCCAAGTAGCACGGGATATGGTGAGCCCGTAGTGGACTTACCTGGCACGGGAGCGGTGCTGTGTCTAGTCTAGGCTAGACAATTAGGAAGGGGGTCGGACTAAGGATTTGGAATGGGACGGGGCGAAAGGAATTGTGCCCAACCACTTGGACGGTCTGGGATTGAACGCCGACCTGCATGAAGCGAGACCGTCACTCTACCGTCTAGCCCAAGTGGTTGATCGAAGATTGCAGAGTGTAACCTTGTATTTGTTAGCTGTTGATAGCTGTCTGGGTTTGTTTGATGTGTAATACCTCGCCAATGTTTTACCTCGCCAACTATTTTAGCGTTGTCAGCATATCTCTGGTGATATGTAAACAAACAACACATTTTATGGGCCGTAAAAAGGAGATTCACGTTGAATAATTTAATGAGGGACTGTCAGTGTACCATTGGCTGTTTCGTCTCAGGCAGCATAGCGGCTCATCCTCCTGTTAATGATAGTTTCGATATATCCGCCAGAGTATCCATTACTGACTACGACCTGCCTTTACCTTGTCAACATGCTTTGCTTGTCATACTTTGCCTGTTAATGGCTTGTAATGTACATTCATGATGTCATTCTCCCCCAAGACCCACCAGCTGCCATGAACCCTCCCAAGTGTTTCCCCAACCCATACTGCACTTTGGATTGTGGAGGGTAAGAGATATAGAAAGAAGGGAGGTGTAGAGAAGGAGGGGAGAGATATAGGGGGGAGAGAGTGAGAGAGAAAGACATACAGTTATATAGAGACAGATACACAGAGAAAAGATCGTCATATAGAAATAGGAAAACCGAAGAATGTAGTAACGGAAGTGAGAGAGAAATAGATCTGCAGTGCCAGGTTGACCCAGGAACCGCTGGGTATCCCACCTAATAATTCTATATAAAGCCGTCCACCACGACCCCTCGACGACTCACGGTAGTGTTCGAGCAGGAAGGCGATGAGGGCGGGGATATGGGTGGGACGGGCCAGATGTCCTCCCATCCCCTTGCAAAAACGGGCAGCCCTGTCCCAGTCGAGACGGTGGTTCGGGTTGGCGTAGTAGCACTGGTGAAGGACCTGCTTGTAGGGCGGAAGACACTCGCACAAACCTGTAAGGAAAGTGAACAGGTTTCAGCAAATGAAGGACACTGTTAAATATATATTTATGTGTGTATATCAACAAAATTAACACGTGATGAAAAATGTGGAAGTGTCAGACCACCAAGGAAGGATTGAAACTGGAATTTCCTCAAGTACTTTCGTATTTAATAATACATCAGAAGGATGAAGATTTAATAATACATCCTTTTGAAGATGTATTATTAAATACGAAAGTATTTAAGGAAATTCCTGTTTCAATCCTTCCTTCGTGGTCTGACACTGTAATTTATAGTTTATATAAATGATATTTTGCTTATAATATTTTTGTATTATTTCCTACTGATTATCATACTTCAAAGACGCGGCGTAAATGAGAAAATGTTCTCAGTGTTATATTTATTTTATTAAGTCTTATGAATAACACATTTTGCTCTTGGAGTGATTTGACTGCACCCATTCGCCTTTTCACTAGGCGTTTCAATCCATTGGCTAAAGAATTATACGTTATTATTTATTGATATTACTATTAATAAAAATAGTGTTATCTCAAACACACATGATGGTGTAATATATTATTATTTTTGTATATAAATGCCTTCGTAATTTCTGTTTTTTATTGATAGTATTTAATATACGCGAGTGACGGCGTAATCTTGTGACCAAAGGCTTCGTTCTCAGCCGTTTATTTAGATACATAAAACAAATTGGGGAAAAAATTTAAAATGTCACTTGCCTTTGCTCACCTTTACATGTCCGGACCTCTTCATACCTACCCTAACCTGACCTTGCCTGGCCTAACCTGGTCTAATCAAACCTAACATAATCTAACCCTACCCGACTTAATCTAACACGGAAAGTGCATTGTTCGAGTTAATTACCGAAATGGAAGTAATTTGCTTAGTTTTAGACTTGTTTATTGGGAAGACTTGTTTATTGTGAAGACTTGTTTTCTTGTGAAAATATTCCTTAGCCATTTTCAGTCTTATCAGGGATCCGCCTGCTGGTAACGCTCTCAGACTCTATTGAGAAAAGAGAATTTTCTCAATGATTTCTACGAGAAACATTTGTCATAATTTTCACATAAACTAATTTCTAAATGCAGACTTTTAAACAAAAACTATATATTATAAATTTAGTTTGCTTAAAATGTTTTTATCTTTTATTTCGCAGCTATCTCAAAAAATCCAGTAACTTCTTTTTATCTGATTATTAATGAATATTGAATTTTAAGACTGTTGTTCTTGCATCGTTTGAAAATTGCAATTGTTAAGCATGGAATTAGCTTTCATCCTTCTTTCAAGTATACGAAGATATTAATTTATTTACAAAATACTTTTTTCACGAAACAAATAAAAAGAGACTAATGTCTTGTCAGTAATTATAATAGGAAAAATTTGTTTAACGAGCGCTTTCCATTTGCATAATATTAAACCCCAAAACCAGCGGATGTAAGGAAAATGAGTTTTAATCTATATTCTTATCAAGAACAGGCAACAATCTATTTTTTTTTTTTTTTTGCTTCTTCAATTACCCTCTATAAGCTCCTAGTTTCACGTCGTGAAGGAGCAGTATTTACGTCATAAGAAGACGTTCATGTGTGCTTCTTTTGACGTGCAAATAATGTTTATACCATGGGAAGTTTAGTGGAAGCAATCGATTAAATATTCGATTCTGTTTTACGACATTTTTCGGGAGGTTGAGGACGAATACTGGAGTACGAACCTCATTTATTTTTGTGCTTTTGTTGCGAATATAAGGAGCGTCAGCCTTGTGTGTGAGGTGGTCCCAGCAAACACACACACACACACACACACACACACACACACACACACACACACACACACACACACACACACACACACTCAGGGCAAGGATGTGTGCACCAGAGACGGGCCTCCCTCAAGGCCGCACCCAACACCTTCCAAAGAGACTTTGTCACCTCACAGGACGCTACAAACTCACCAAAAGCAGCCGCGTGTTCCATGATGTTGTGATGCTCGTCTCCCTCCAACATCTCGGAGGAATGTTTGATATCCTGTATCGTGACATCTTTTTGGTTACCTTGCGAGCGATGCTGAAGTGCCAGTGGTCCAGGTGAGCCTTGGGAGGACGAGGCGGAGTGCCTAGAGGAATGGACGACGGAGGTAGTGACCCACGCCAACACCACCACTATTAGGAGTATCGAAGGAAGGAGCCATAGGTAGTGGTAGTGATGGTGGCGAGTGGTGGTAGTGGAGAATAAGTCTGTCATTCTGCCTGGTACTGAGGTTGGAGCAATACTGAAGAGGATGTGCCTTAGTGATAACTCTGTGTGTGTGTGTGTGTGTGTGTGTGTGTGTGTGTGGTTCTTCGTGCATATGAACTGACATTCCTCGATATGTGTGTATGTACTTACCTAGATGTACTCAACATGAAGTGCTCACCTAGATGTGTAAACAGTGTCCAGCGTGTGGGCCTATTGTCCAGAATTTTGGACCATTAGTAATTCATTGCAGTGACTTTTTTTCTAGATTATTTTGATTCAAAAAATTATTTTGGGTTTCCTTCAATCATTGATTTATCATACCTTTTAAACTCATTTTTTCACACGAATTTTTTTCACAAATCTCTGGTACTCATTTTTGTATCTTGTTTCCATCTGTTTTGTTTACAGCTGTCGTTCTAGTTTTCAATTTCAACATTGTTTATTTGTCTACTTTATGAATTCCGTTTAGAATGTTTTGTGACGTTTTCCTTCTTCTAACTTAGTTCCATCAGGCTATATAATTACTATTTTTTTAATAGTAAATAGAACATTTACATAATAAATATTTAATAGTGACATTATTACTTACTGTTAGTAAGTACTAACATTACTAACATTACTGTTAATAAGTAACACTTTATAGTAACATAGTAACATTTAATAATAACTAGAATAGTAAAAAGAACATTTACTATTCTCTGTCAAGGTTTCTGGAGGCCATTTATCTCACCACATCTGGAGAGATCTTGTTTTGTAGTATTTCAGCTTAGCATCACTAGATAATGTTGAATGTTCTTTGACATTCAAGAAAGATTCCGGATTGCTCAACTCTCTTGTTTGGAGTTCGCCACATTATCACAATACACTAAATATGTCGAGCAAAATGACCTTTAGGTGAGTCCATGCTGACGTTTGAAGGCAAAATTCAACTGTTACCTGTCTGTGTTTTAGTCAATTCTCAGAAATTTTGCATTATAGATCATTCCAGTTGAACAAATCTACAAGGGCCGTGACGAGGATTCGAACCTTCACGCTATTGTGATTTCTGTGTGTAATGAAGTAAAGAGCGAAGAGGGAAAATGGACTATTGACATAGCTCGAGTGCATGGGGGAGTTGTGTAAAACCCTGGTTTGTGTCTCGGAGAGGCTGCAGGATCCAGTAAGTTCAGAAGAACTTCTGTTTCAACTCTTTTTTTTGACCATGTCGTAGCTCAGTCGATTAAGGCAGCGTCTGGGATGCTCCCGGACGTAGGTTCGAATCCTCGTCACGGCCCTTGTGGATTTGTTCATTTGATGCATCACGCTATTGTGATTTTTGTGTGTAATCATTCCAGTTATTTTAATTGTTTTTACATCCGTTTTTGTTCTTAGTTCTTTGAATTAATCTGGTTTATCTGTTAGACCACCATCATTGGTGTAGATGTTTAAAAAAAATCTTATGTTTAGCCAAATTCCAGCAAGGGGGTAAGAAAATGAGATCAGGTGCAGGAAAAAATAGCGAAGAAGGCATAGATGATACGGAAGATAGAAGAGCAGTAGATAGCATTGGGGAAGTAGTAGGTAGTACGAAGGGGGATTAGTGGACTAAAAAGGTGGGAACCAAATACGGAAGAGATGAGGTATGTGATTAGTGAGGAATGGGAAGCATTATTAAGTTTGTGTAAGGAGGTATGGATATTTATAGATTTGGGCGGTTGATGATTAGCTAGAAGAAGGAGGATCAGGAAGTATAAGCCAAACAAATATTCAGATGATGAAAAAGAGTCATATATAAATAAGGGAAGACACCAAAAGGAGCAAGCGAGCGAGAGAAAGATTCTGGCAGAGAATCAGGAAAAGTGAAAGAAGAACTGGGGCCAGGATAGCCGGATGCTTGTCGTTCGCTGCTCCTTGTCCACTCATTACCATGAACACACCAGAGCTGCACCCCCGGGAAGCCCTAATCTACAGGATGTGAGTTACTGGAGCCAGTTATCAGAGGCAAACGGAACAGGACACTTGCCCTGATACAAGCACGTACTGGCACACTGTAAGTGATGCCACAATGCTGTGTGTTGTAAGTAAACTTTATAAGAGTGGACATGTGCCAGTGTCTAAATATTAAGTCAACATATAATGGAATTAAATAAGTAGATGATACCAACAGGACTCGTCTCAAAATTACGTGGGATGGGGGAGTAAATTTAGAATACCAAGAAAGACTTTAAGAGCTGGACCTTATATTGACAGGAAAGACAGATGGAGAGAAGACATGACTCAGATATATATATATATATATATATACAATATTTAAAGTTATTCAAAGGGTGGATAAAGATGAAATTATCACAATGAAGACATTAGAACAACAAGGCGTAGATGGAAGTCAGAGATACAGATGAGAAATAAACAAATCCACAAGGGCCGTGACGAGGATTCGAACCTGCGTCCGGGAGCATCCCAGACACTGCCTTTTGTTCATTTGATGCATCACGTTAGTGTGAGCTCTGTGTGTAGTGTGAGATGAGAAATAGTTCAGTAATCGCTGCATTAGTCCAATAGACTCAGAAACCTGTTTCACGATTCATTAAGTAGTTACGCAGGTACGAAACCTCTACATCTTTTCTAAATCTTTGTTTACAGCTAGTAAACTGTTTATGAGCTTCGTAGCACTAGGAGGCTGTTTATAGCAGTAAACAGCAATATAGCTGTTTATAGCAACATGTGACTGGGAAGTTTCGATGTTTGTAAACTGTTTAGTAAATGTTGACAAAGCCGCCAGAGATTGAGAAAATATGTATAGGTTTATAAGTTGTTGTGTAAATGCTTGTTGAATCCTGGGCCTGTACAGCAGTTGACTGACAGTTCAGAGGCAGGACCAAAGAGCTGAAGCTCAACCCCGCAAGCATAATTAGGTGAGCACAACTAGGTGAGCCCACACACACACACACACACACACACACACACACACACACACACACACACACACACACACACACACACACACACACACTCACTCATCAAGGAACAAAGACTGGAGAAGAATGCCTCCAATGCCACTGAACTAATGACTCAGCCCCCCCCACACACACACACGGGGACCCCCAGCTGAGGACACGGGAACAAATTGACGTGGGAACACGTACAGACAAGGACACATTGACACGGACGACACAAAAACACCCAGAGGTGCATGAACAGGACTCATCTCACTACAGTAATCCTACAGCAAGTACAGAATGGATCATCACCCTCCTTAAAACATAAAATATTTAGTCTAGCATCAACAAAAATATCAGTTCAGCTCATATTTTGTTGGTTTACCATACTGTTCTAATATAGTGGAGCTATACAAGTTTACAGTAAACTGGTGTAGCTCCACTACATCAGAACAGTACAGTAAACTGTCCGTCGTAACAACGTAAAGCAATCCTTAACAGCTAAAGAGGTGTTCAATATACAGCAACATTGACTTTACAATATGAAGGTTGATATATATATTGTAAATTTAAAGTGTAGTTTACCGTTAGAACGGCGAAGCAGGTATTGGCATAAATTAGATTACGAAATTAGGGTGATGAAGAATAGATTTGTAGGAAAATCGGAAATTAGGAACACAGATAGGTCAGATTTATCTGAAAAAAGTCCAGTCTCAGAGTCGTAAATATGTGGATGGACTTGATGCAGACATTGTCGAAGTCAATTCTGTACACAGTTTTAAATGTAAACATAAGGGAAAACGAATGAAAAGAGTCACTGTATTGAACCAATGATAGCCGAAAGGCTGGATTTGACAGCAATGCTCGACCCTGCAAGCTCAACTAGGCGAGTACACACTCACACGCACGCACACCTATACTGTTTCTGGTATATGTAAATGATCTCCCAGAGGGTATAGATTCGTTCCTCTCAATGTTTGCCGACGATGCAAAAATTATGAGGAGGATTGAAACAGAGGATGATAGTAGGAGGCTACAAGATGACCTGGATAGACTGAGTGAATGGTCAAACAAATGGCTGTTGAAGTTCAACCCGAGTAAATGCAAAGTAATGAAACTAGGCAGTGGAAACAGGAGGCCAGGCACAGGATACAGAATAGGAGATGAAGTACTTAATGAAACAGACAGAGAGAAAGATCTAGGAGTTGATATCACACCAAACCTGTCTCCTGAAGCCCACATAAAGAGAATAACGTCTGCGGCATATGCGAGGCTAGCTAACATCAGAACGGCGTTCAGGAACCTGTGTAAGGAATCATTCAGAATCTTGTACTCCACATATGTAAGACCAATCCTGGAGTATGCAGCCCCAGCATGGAGCCCGTACCTTGTCAAGCACAAGACGAAGCTGGAAAAAGTCCAAAGGTATGCTACTAGACTAGTCCCAGAACTAAGAGGCATGAGTTATGAGGAAAGGCTGCGGGAAATGCACCTTACGACACTGGAAGACAGAAGAGTAAGGGGGGACATGATCACAACCTACAAAATCCTCAGGGGAATCGACCGGGTAAACAAGGATGAACTATTCAACACTGGTGGGACGCGAACAAGGGGACACAGGTGGAAGCTGAGTACCCAAATGAGCCACAGAGACGTTAGAAAGAACTTTTTCAGTGTCAGAGTAGTTAGTAAATGGAATGCATTAGGAAGTGATGTGGTGGAGGCTGACTCCATACACAGTTTCAAATGTAGATATGATAGAGCCCAATAGGCTCAGGAATCTGTACACCAGTTGATTGACGGTTGAGAGGCGGGACCAAAGAGCCAGAGCTCAACCCCCGCAAGCACAATTAGGTGAGTACACACGCACACGCACGCACACACGCTCAAGCGGTGATGATGTACTGGTGTGTGTGATTACCGCTCCGGTCAGCATTATCGGAGACCGATCCACTTCCGCCTTCTCTCTCTCTCTCTCTCTCTCTCTCTCTCTCTCTCTCTCTCTCTCTCTCTCCAGTGAGCATTATCGGAGACCGATCCACTTCCGCCTTCTCTCTCTCTCTCTCTCTCTCTCTCTCTCTCTCTCTCTCTCTCTCTCTCTCTCTCTCTCTCTC